TTTCCTTCAGGTGAGGCTGAGGCTCCCAGTTTTTCTGGTTTGACTTGGTTGCTGACTATGAAGTCTCTTCCTTCCTCCAATTTATGGGTGTGGTAACTTCTGTAGTACAAGTGGTGTGAAAATCCATGGGAGGCCAACTTCTTGTCCTAACACAACATCAATACCACCACTATGACCACCACCACCACTACCACAATTAATCAGACTTTTTATTCATAAAGTTAGTGGCCTAAGGCACAACTAAATTTATAGGAGTTTGTGAACCCGTTAGAGCTTGCCTGGGATGATATTATGCCAGGAGGATTTCAAATTCTGGCCATATGCTCCTGGCCTACTGGACAGTCCTAAAGTGAATTTAATTGTGCCTCTGGATGTCTTAGAGCAAGCAGTTTGGCTGTTATTTTTGTAAATTGGTAAGGATAGGATAGGGTAGGAATAAGGATAGGAAATAGAAAGAATATGGGTCATTGCTTCAAAGTCTTTGGCCAGAAAGTAGACTCAAAGTTCAGAGGTTCCATTGTTAAAAGTAACACTAGTTAAACTTTGAGAGCTTCCTTTGTGCCAAGCACTGTGCTTTGCAGGCGGTAATCTCATTGGGGATGAGGTAGGTTTTTCAGAGACTGATTGCTGATAGAATGAACTCTGGAAACTTTACCAAAAAAAAAAAAAAAAAGTTTGAGTCCTTCCCTTCTGGGAAAGGCGGCCCAAAGCTTCAGTTCGCTAGTCACTGCAAAGCCTGCTGTGTGTCTTACTTCATCTTTGTGACAGTTCTGTGAAGTCAGTGCTTACCATATCTCTGTAAAAGAAATCACTGTAAGAAACTGGTGTTTTAGAGATGTGAAAGGCTTTGCTCAACATTGCACAGCTTACAAACCAAGTCTTTTTCCAGGTCTTCTGTTCTCAGCTAAATAGACATCCTTCTTTCATCTGTCCTCATCCTTTGCTGCCAGTAACTTTCCTGATGTCCCTGAGCCATGGGAGGAACTCACCACTGCTTCATCACTAGCAGGGAGGCAAAAGGTCTCCTAGCTGAGCTTGCAGGGAGACTATCCCCTCTGGGGAACTGCAGAGCCAAAAAAAGTGGGTGAGGAGGGCAATTTTGTTCCTACTATGTCTGAGCTATTTACTGGTTTGGGCGATATTCTTGTTGTCCCAGAAACAACAGTATCATAATAGAGCAGAGTTTTCTGATCAAATGCTACTTCCTCCTTTTCTCCCAGGCGTCTGGCCCCCTTAAACCCCTCCTTTATCTTGTCTCCACCCTTCCTCATCATCCTTTTCTGCCCTTTTTTTTTCAGCCCCACCTTCTCCTTAGCCCTGGCTCTTCAAGCATTTAAAATTGTTGTTGTTGTTCTGCTGGGAGCAGGGAGGGTGGAGGCCTCTTCCTGAGGCTTTTCCTGCTCTTCTCCCTCCCTCTAGCCCTCATTCCAGGCTCCACCCTGGTAGTTTGTTGGCTGGCATTCTGGAGGAAGAAGAGAAGCAGGAGAATGAAGAGGAAGATGGACAGCAAAGAGTAGCATTTTGTGAGCCCTGGATGTCTGCAGGCTTCCCCGCCATCTTTTATAGTTCAGTCTGTAATTTAATTTCTCACCTTTCCTCCTTGGTTCCTTTTTTTTTTTTTGAGGGCTTCTTTGTCTAGCATTGTAGACCAGGCTGGCCTCAAACTTACAGAGATCTGCCTGCCTCTGCCTTCCAAGTACTGGGATTAAAGGTGGCACCCCTCTTGGTTCCTTAAGCACATAGAGGAGAGTTTAGGGTGCTGTTGCAAGCACTTAGTCTCCCTTATGCTTTGGGTGAAATGGAACAATGGAGCAAGTGGAAGATATTGTAGGTTGCTATTTTTTTTTTTTTTTTTTTTTTATCGCTTAGGCCACCTAAGAAAAGGGGAGCCTGTGATACTTCCTAGAAGGAAGAAACATTGCATCTTATTCTTCATGTCTGCTCCCTTTATTTCCATCTGACCTAAGTGTCATAGGCCATGCTGATTATTGGTGTGGCCAGTGACAAACAACAAGGGTGGGCGTAGCTCAGTGGGAAAGTGCGAGCCAAACATACACAGTGAGGGCACTGGGTTCAATCCACAGTATGGAAAAATAAAGAACAGAGACAAAGAATATCAGGGAAAACTCCATCTTTACCACCAACAGTGGACCTAGGGTACTTAGTTCCTTGTGAGTCAGTCACCTTGGAGTTCTCATTCAAGCATGACAGATATCATATCTAAAAACTTCAAAGGAAAATGTGACCCAAAAGATTGGGTATGATGATGAAGTCAAGGGCTCCTATACTGAAGTCCCTAGGAGAAAGAAAGAGGGTGGCTTTATTTTATTTCTCCCTCTAATGTTAAACGTGCTTATTATGGCATAGGTGCTCAGTATGTTTCAATGACCAAATGGATGGGAGAATGGATGGGGGAAACCTCAAGTTTAGGGCTTACTAGTTTGCTTGATTTTTGTTTTTGTTTTTTTTCAAAATCTGAATTTGTCAAACTGATACAATGTTTTCTATACAAATACAGTCAAGGCAGACAAAAATAAGGTATAAAGTAAATTCAATAACCAGAAACATTTTTTTTTAGCACGAGAAAAGATTATTTGACTGTCTTCAAATGGACACAACTTTTTAAGGAGCCTGTAGAGATTGAACAAAAAATTCACGATGACCAAAGGGTATACCTAGTATAGATAAAGAATTATAGTGGCTATTGACCTCAGAATTTATTGCCCATCTTCATTTTTCACTTCACAAAAGTGTATTAGTCTTTGAATTTAAACTGTCATTATTGAAGATAGCCTTGAACTAGTGAAAAATTATTTTTTAGTAATGCTCCCCAGATTTTATATATTAATAACTTAAGGATTCAAGGAATAAAATGACCCTTAAAAAAGAATATGTAGAGTTGTACATTGTATGGCTCTCACTTAGTAAGGGGTGGGTGTAGGCAGCAGTTCCACTGATGTAGAGACATAGTGAGGCATTTATAAAAGTCCCTCCTACAGGGACATTCTTTCATGTAGTAAGTGCTTATACATGCTGTTTAATCTGTGTTCCTTGTTTTCTACATGTGAAAGTGATAGTGATAATACCTACCTATACTACTGTCATAATGATTCAGTGAAGCTCAGAACAGACCTCAGCATATAGTTACTTCTCGATAACTATTTTTGGCAATAATGCCAAGCATCTACATTACAAACATAATTAACACCTGATGCCTAGCCTCCACGTCATTATAAAGTAGTAACAGGGATAAGCAGTTATATAACAACACACAGATACCTAGACATGCAGCAGGAAATGGTCAGTACTTCCTGAGTGAATTAAATAAGGAGAGGAGATAACCTTTAGATTGTCTTTTTTAAAAAGGTGGACAGAGAGTTTAAAGGACACTTCAGACAGAGAAGGTAGGGTGTCTCATGGCCCCGAGACTGGAAAAAGCCTGGGATTATCAAGGGTTCTGATCAAGGGTAAAATCTAGTAGAACAGCAAAAACCCTGCTGATTGAGCTATAGGCAGGCTCCAGATCATTAGGCAAGTGGAGGGATTCCAAGGTGTTACCTTGAATGTTTAGGTGGTGAGTGAACTATTGATGGAAGAACAGATTGTTTGGAGATGGGAAGAAAATGAGATGTCTAAAACACATATGAACAGAAATAGCAGTTAAGCAAATGGACATACTTGCTGGGCACATACTGAGCTGTTACCCTCAGTTTCCTTATTCTTCTTAAGAAGCTGGGTGTGATGCTACATGCCTGTAAACTCAGAACTAAGGATGTTGAGGCAGAAGACTGGTGAGTTTGAGGACAGCCTAGGCTATAACATTAGCCTGAGGTCCATTGTAAGGCTTCCTGTCTCAAACAAACAAATAACAAAAATGAGCTGGGAATACAGCTGAGTGGTAGAGTGTTTGCTTTTGAATACACTAGGTCCTGACTTCAATCTCCAGTACTCCCCGATGGGGCATAAAATTATAGTGCTACCTACTTTCCAGGTTTGTTACCAGGAATAAAGGTAAGTGGATGACTATAATGGTACCTGGTCCGGTGAGCTGCACATATGAGGTACTGAATACATGGAACCTATTATTATTTCTCTTGCTTGGCTTCTCCTTCCCTTACTCTCCTTGTTTCTTCTCTCTTTTGCCTCCCCTTTGAAGGAACTGTGGCAGGGAAGAGGCACTGGAAGGAGGCTGTGGTTGTCTGTGACTTCCTGGGTTTCCATTAAAATGAGCCAGAGAAGGATTTTAAGGCAAGGGCAAGGAAATGTGGGAAATATGGCTTCTAGTCTATGGATTCAGTTCATGAGGGATGTTAGCCAACGCTTGGCTGAGAGGCAGTCTCAGGGGGTTGAGAACTCTATTCTTAGAGAGCTGGTAGCTGGGAGACTCAGAAACCCTTTCTGAACTCTCCCAGCAAGGGCCACAGGGTGTTAGTAATTCATCTTCAACTCATTTCTCTCACCTTCTCCTTTACTCTCACCTTCTCTTATCTATTGCTAGAAAATGCACCCAGCTCCAATCTCCTTCCCTCTTAAGCATCATCCCTAAAAAGACACTGTGACCCCTCTGTCCTTGCTAGTGTCACACGTTGCCATGGAGAACTGGGAGGGTAAAATCCGCTTACAGTTAGCATCTTTCTGGTACTCCCCATTCCGAATCCCTTTCTTCCCAGACATCCCTTACTCAATCACCACACCCTTCTCACCCTCCCCTAGAGAGCTTAGATCCTGATGGATAGGTGACCATGTTGTGAGCCCGGAAACCCCTGTCAAGGACTGCGGATGTACTGAAACTGATTTTAGTTGTACCTGCTGCTGCAGGAGGCCAACAGAGACAGTGACACGGGCGAGGCCAGCTCCTAGCTCCTAGGTCTCGCCCCACCCCCTCCCCTGTCCCTCCGCCTTCTCTGCCCCACCCATCTCCACCCCCTCCTACTCCACTCCCCTCTAGCGGCCACTTGTCCCTTTTAAGGAACTCCACCCTAGGTGGAGTCCTCATGGTAGTCACACCTCTCTTCTGGGCCTAGTCTGCCAGAGAAAGAGCTAAGCACTCCACCTACTCAGGTTGCCCAGCGAGCGCGCCAGGCTCTGACCCTACGGGCGTGGTTTACCAGTGGGGCGGCCAGGTACCACCGGGAAGTCTCTCTGGCGTGGCCCAGCGGGAGTGCCTGCCACTCGCGTGGGAGCCCCTGCCCTGGGCCGGTGTTTTCCTAGTGTTTCGACCAATCGTCGGCGTCTTTTCCTCCTTTCTTTTTAGGAAGGCGCCGGGTGTGTAGCGCTAACCGCTGTGTGGAGGGGATCCTCTGGCGCTGTCTCCTTGTGGGTCTTCACTGACTCCTCCGTCTCAACTTTGCGTTCAAGTCGTGATCTGAGGTTTGGGTGCTTTGCCGGGACCCCGCCCCGTCTCTCTCGGGGAGGGAGTGAGGAGTTCTGAGGTGGGTGGAGAATGGGCTTGGCCGGAACTGAATCGGTTGAGGTAAAAGGGGAACGCAGGAGCTTTAGCGCTGGCCACTTCGCCCGGGAGAACCCGGAGAAGCCGCTGTATTTTTAGCACAGGGAAGGCTGCAGTGGGAGGATTCTTTTTAGGAAGTCTGCTCCGCCGCCCCGATTCGGGGCTTGGATGCTTGAAAGCTTTGTTTCCCTTGTTCTGAGGGTGGCCCAGTTGGGTCTGAATCGACTCCCTCCCTTTTTCGTTTCCCCCATCCTTTTCCAGTCAGGAGAAAACAGAGAGGTGGGGACCAAGGAAGAGGAGGCTAAAGCGTGTTGCCAGGCGCGCTGTCAGACATGGGCGGGTGCGAGGGGAACAGCTGTCTTGAGATCAGCTCAGTAGTATAAGTCTCAGGGAGGACTGCATGAGCTCCGGACACTTCAGGAGTCCTCAGCTAGAGACACAGGCGGTAAGTGACTCGGAAAAGAACCCACTCTCCTGTCCTCATAACTCCCCCCCTTCCCAGCGCGCCGCCGTAGCTGCCGCCGCCGCCGCCGCCGCCGCCGCCAACCGCACACACCCACTTGGCTTCGGGTTTTAGCAGTGAAGTGGGATGGGGGGCGTGTGAGCGGAAGGGGTAAGAACATTATGCGGAATCAAATTAAACTCAAGGGAATATGACTCCCTTAAGGATTGTGAAGAGAGACTTAGAGGAGGGGGTACTTCAGGGGCCTTGTGGAAGAATTGAAAGGGGTCAAGAATGGATAGGTTTGTCTAGTTCAGTGTGTCCTGTCTCCGTACTCAGAATGCTCCTTAAGTGGGTTGTTTTAACCCTATACATCCAAAGTCTCAGCAAGAGCAAAGAGGATTTGGAAGACCAGTGATCCCACTTACGTCACCCCCTCCCTTCCCCCCAAGCAGTAGCAGGTACCTAGAGATGCTTCTCAAAAGAGGGAGGAGGGGCAGTGAAGAGTTAATTTGGGAGCCTGGCCTCTTCGTACTGATGGCAAGACCCCTTCCAGGAACCTCTGAAGAGGAGCTGGTTAGGGCGTGCCAGCTCTTTAAGGAGGGACTGAGCTTGGTTTCTGGGGGAAGCCAAAGCATAGCCTGATCTAGGCTCCTTAAGATGTGGCCAAGAGCTTAGTTCGTGTAGGTGGATGATCAGCCGGAACTGTTGTGATTACTGGAGTGAAAGGACTTGCTTAGCCACAAGGTGAAGCTTTTTGTACTTTTTCGACCCTAAGAATTTTAAAGAATACAAATTACATCCTAACAGGTGGCCAGGGGAACAATACCATATTTTCTCTAATATTACTGTAATTGCGGCGCGGGAGTGGTGGGGGGGTGATAAAGTACTTGTATGCCACTTAGTATGTAATAGTAACGAAGAAAAGAGAATAGTATCTAAATTTGGATTTTAAGATGAAGATAGTTGGTTTGGGATCATAAAAAGATCTACTTTGAAACCCTCCTATCACCACTAACAGGTTGTATGAGGATGACTCTTGCTTCTCTCCTCTGTAGGAGATATTTATGACATGCTGCCACTACTTGCTGTGTTTTTCACTTTCTTTTCCTACTCTTTGTGGTTTTCTCTCTGGAGCACTGCTGGTCACATTAGTACTTTGGTGTCCTTAAAACACATTTCAGACGAAGGGAATGAAGACTTGTGCAGTTTAACTAGTTCGCACAAAGACAGGCTGGAATATATGTCTTACTTGTTTGAGATTTAACATTGTTCCTACTAGATTTTATCAGCTGCAAGAGAAAAGGCCACTAATCTGCCTATCTTCTGATTCTTTGGTCAGTTTAACCAAGATGATGTAACCAGCAAGACCTTTGGACAGAAAACCAGTGACTCACATATGACTTCATCCTCTTCTTCAAAGTTTGGGGGGTAACCATTAGGAGAGAGACATTAATCCTTGGAAACTGCTGATGAGACAGGCTAGGCACAGTGTATCTTCACATTAGCTTAGAGGGCAGCTAGGCAAAATCACAGGACGGGTAGAAATACCACTTCAAAAGTGTGACAAATGTAACTATGCAGTCTGTTCTCAAGACCAAATTGCATAAAGGCCTGCTCTACTTTCGAAGCGTTAGAATGCTGGAGAATCCTCTTGCATTCAGAGCTCACGGGAAAGAAAATTCGTGGGAAAAACATGATCACTACAACCACCCTTGATTTTCCTGGTCAATGCATTTCAGAGATGTGGCTCTTAATGGTTCGGCTGGATTTTTGTTTTGTTTTGTTTTGTTTGTTTGTTTCTTTTTAATTGCCAAGATACCAAAACTAGATATTATTAGTCATTACAGAATATTTTGTTTTTCATGTGAAGAGGTAGAGATCAACTACTCATGTTTTTGTACTCTGGCAGGGACTTATTAATGTTTGAGACATTGAGGTGCTTTATTTCTTTTCTTATTTATAATTTCCTTATATTTATTTATGTGCTTTTGTATGTATCTTGTTGAGGAAATTGCTGCCTTTATGAAGAGACCAGAATTACTAATGATTGTGAGCTGCCCAACATGGGTGCTAGGAATGAAACCTGGGTCCTCTGGAAGCACTCTTCACATGGAGCCATCATTCCAGCCCGGGACATTTATGTTTACCTTTGCTTTGAGTCAGTTGTCGTTTATGAACTCAATCTGTTGAATGAAGGAAGAACAGTTTGGAGATACATAATTCATCTAGCAAATTAACATACTAGATGTTAAGCACTGGGGGAATATGGTATTTTGTTTGTTTATTTCTTAGTATTATTGGGCATGGAAACCAGTATCTGGTATATCTGGCATTCCATTGGAATTTCTAAAAAGGTAACAGGGTTTTACTATGTAGCTAGACTGGCCTGGCTCTTAATCCTCCTGCCTCAGCCTCCTGAGTGCTGGAATTCTAGGCATGAATCATTGTAACCACTGAGAAGATTTTAAAGCTCATTTTGTTTTAGAACTCTGCTGTATTTTGGTTATTTGTATTCATAAGTAAGCCCACAGTCCCTTTGAGATCGTGAGCTACTTGATGACACTCAATAGTCTTCATAGTACTTTGCTAATTATCTTTCCCTTGTGAATACTTTACTTGGAACATATTTTGGAGGTTGTGATCTAAGGTCTTACTCTTTTTTTTTTTTTTTTTTAGTTTTTTGAGACAGGGTTTCTCTGTGTAACACTCCTGGCTGTCCTGGAACTTGCTCTGTAGATCGATCAGGCCGGCTTCACAGAGATCGTCTGCTTCTGCCGAGAGCTGGGATTGACGGCGTTCACCACCACCACCTCGGGGCCTAAGGTCTTATTCTAAACTGCCATATTTTTTGTAAGTGAAGAGAAAACTGATGGTGTGATTGACCTAAATGATCATCCAGTGTGGTTACAATTTAACTACTAAGTAGAGTATGAATTGATGAGTCTTATCTCTTTGTTCAAAGACAAACTGAGTCCGTGTTTGGTTTTCTTTCTGACTTACTAACTGATGTTATTTATTTAGATTTTATAAGTAGAAGTCGGATTTATGTTCTTTTTATTAACCCCAACTCAACTTTTTTATTAACCCTAACTCAATTTTATCATCTAGCCTCTTATTTCTAAAATGATATGATCCTTTATGGTTGTAAATAACATTCTTAAGAGAAGGGTCTCACCAATTTTACTCTGTTGTCTTACTTTAATGTTGTTAATGTCTATCTGAAGGGGAGACCTATAAATTTCTAAGCAAGAAGTTAATTGTAAATGTTCTGAACATGCTAGATGGTATATATAATATGCTAAAAGATGTTATCTGTATCTTTAGGTTTTTTTTTTTAAAGTGTGTTGTGAAGTTTTTGATTCTTTTTTTTTTTCTGTGCTAGGAACTGAACTTAAGGGTCTTGCTAACTAGGTGTTCTGCCACTGAACTGCATCCCTAGTCTGTGAGAGTTTGAAGGTTTAATAATGTAATGCTAGCACCTTGTGCGGCAGCACCTATTGCAGCTGTGGAGGTGGTGGCGGTGGCAGTAGCAGAGACGCACACCTTTAAACACTCCAGAGACAGGCAGGCAGATCACATAGTGTGAGGCCAGCCTGGTCTACAGAGTGAATTCCAGGACAGCCAGAGCTATTAGACAGAGAAACACTGTCTTGAAACCTCCCCTCCCCCACATACACACAAAGATATTTCAAACCACTAAAATTTTGGAATTTTTCTGTAACCACCACCTTACCATTTCTAAAATAGAGCCTATTTTCACTCTTAGAGTTATCCATTACTCATTCAAGACTTACCCTTTCACTTTCCCTGTTCTACAACTTTCCATTAACATAACCTTGGTGAAGTTATTTAAACTATGCGCTTGAATGTTCTCTTGTGTATTAGGGATCACAGTGGAGACTACCTGGGATTGAATGGCAGTGAGGAACATATTGCTCATTGTGAAATGCTTGTGAACATTAATTTTGTGAAAATGCTTTAAGAATTTATGGAAGTATAAAGTATAGACAGTGAGAAAATGTAGTTGTGTTTCTCATGTCTTTTGCACAAAAAACAAGCTTTGTCTTCTTTCCTAGTTTCCTTATCCATGTAGTTGGCAAAGTATTTTGTTGCCTGTCTTTGTTTTCTAACAACTTTTTTTTTTTAATCCAAAAGGTTCCACAATCTTAATTTAGACCAGAGGCTTAAATAATTAGCCTATATACCAATTGCAGCTCATGCAAATCATTTGTTTTCCTTGCAATTTTTAAGTTTCATTTAACAGATACTTATTTTTTCTTTATATGCAACATTCTATATGGCTCAAGACCCAACATAAAAAAAGGTTACACAGTGAAAACTCTTCCTCTTATTCTTGTCCATTAGCCACTTATTCTTCCTCACTGGAAGAAACTAAAGTTATTAATTTATTGTTATTCTTTGTAGAGATATGAAAGTATATCAAATAATGAATACACCCATGCACATTGTTCAACTTTTTTCCTTTTATAATGCTCTAATCTGATTCGTTTTTCTTTTATTTTTATTCATTTTAAATTAAAATACAATTATATCACTTTCCTTTTTTTCTGTGTCTGCATGTTACTATTTTTAACTTAATTTTGAGATTGTAACTTAACTATATTTTTCTCTTCCCTTTTATACACAAATAGTAACACATTCTGTATATTGTTCTACCATTTGCTTTTTCTACTTAAAAATATACTTTGGAGACATTTCCTTATAGGTTTAGAAGAATTCCTCATTGTTCTGTGTGACTGTACAGTTTTTTACTGTATGTTTAGATCGCAGTTTATTTAACCACTCTTGTATTGATCAATGTTCAGGATATTTCCAAAAGTCTTTAGTGTTTCTAATAGGGATGAAAACTCAGTAAGTATTATATATAGAACTGTTATATATAACAAAATTTCAGTAACTGGGTACTTTAAACAACAGGAATTGTATGTATCTAGTTCTAGAGGCTAGAATTCAGAGATTAGGGTCTCAGCATAGGCAGATGTGCAGGGCTCAGCATAGGTGGATGTGTCATGACAGCTGCTTTCCTAACTCCCAGTTGACTGCATTCTTTGCTGTATTCTCAATTTTTTCTTTGTTTAAGAGATAGAAATCTCTTAATTAGAGCATACACCTGTATGACCTCATTTACTTGTAATTATTTCTATAAAGGCCATATCTCTAAATAAGTCACCTCAGGATTAAGGGCTTTCACATATGAATGGGGGGCATCAAAAGTCACTTTGCCTAATCTCATGCTCTTAAAAATTGGCTGATTGCCAACATTTTAAAGTTGGATTCATTTAAAAATCTAGATTCCATTTTCTTTTAAGTAATTAGATGATAGGATAAGGTAAGATTTTATATGATATTTGAGTCTTTTCTACTGTGGCATTTTATTCTTTCTCAACTGGTACTTAAGTGCTGTGTGCCAATTGTGATTGCTGCATGTTTATGATTAATACTACAATTATTGAGTACCTTTACTCTCTTTGTCGTCAATAATAGAGCTTATTTTGAGGGTAAAGAAGTGCCCCATTATTGTTTTCAACTTTGCCAAACTATTCCAAAGTTTAGGGTTGTAGCAGTTGTCTTTTTCATTTAAAATTTTATTCTTTGAGAATTTTATACATATAGATGTATAAAATATATAATGAAACTGAATATATAATGAAATTGAACATATCCACTACTCATTTCACCCTTTCCAACTTTCCTTCATATGCCCCCCAACTTCATTTCTTCATCTTTTTTTTTAAAATAATTCAATAATTCACTAAGTCTACTCAGTGCTACCAATATGTGCAAGGATGTGGAGCCACCTACTGGAGGCAACCTACTAATAGCCACACTCCCAAAGAATGTTTCTCTGACTCAGCAACAATAGCATCTTACTTAGAGGTGGAACCTTGTGGGCTTCTCCATTCATTCTGGACTTTTATAGGTCTTGTGCAGGTAACCACAGCTACTGTGATTTCATGAGTGTAATAGCAATAGCCATATCATCTCAAGAAGAAAACGTTCAAGTATTTTTTAGGTAGAAAAAGAGCTTTTGTATTGAGCATCATACCTCATTAGTTCAATCATTTCCATCTTGCATTGCTAAATTGCTCTGGTCCTGTATTTCCTTGTGTGTATATAGCATCAACAGTGCTGTCTGTTTTATGCTGTATAAGAGAAAAAATGTGGCTTAACAATCATCATCTGAGGAGAGGACAAATGGATAAAATATTATTTTAACAGAATAACAGTGCCATAGCTGGGGTACTCAGTGGTAGAGTACTTGCCTAACATGTGGAAGGACCTGAGTTCTACACCATTTACTGCAGCACTCTCAAAAAGTAAAGAAGCAAAGAAAAAGAAGCAAAACCAAAAGCAGTAGCCTTGTCCCTTTATCATCACTTCATGAACACCATGCTATAGTTAAATATTGAACGTGAATGATATCCTAAACCACTTTTCCAGCACTAACTCGACCCTGTGTTCTTACAAGATATATAATAAAATGATGTGGAAAATGTACATGTGCTACTTAAAAAAAAATGGAATCTCAAAATTCTAGAACATTGCGTGCCTGCCTCCCTCCCTCCCTTTCTTCCTTCCTTCCTTTGTTTTTTGAGACAGGGTTTCTCTGTGTAGCCTTGGCTATCCTGTAACTCATTCTGAAGACCAGGCTATCCTCAAACTCAGATCCACCATCCCTGCCTCCTGAGTGCTGGTATTAAAGGTGTGCACCACCACTGCCAGGCTCACTTACACACATATTTACATAAGAAGTCCTACAATAATCTATGTGTTGGTGCTATTAATATTGTCACAAACAGCTCAGAATCCCTTGCCCAATTTGTTATTATCACAAAGTTTGTTATTGCACAATTTTGAGCTTGTAATGTTTATAATTTTATAATTCAAGTACTTCAGCAACCAAGGCAGGGGAGGAGGTTGTTGTGAGTTTCAGGCTAGCCTAGGTTACAACATAGTGAAAGATACCCCCAGCCCCCAGCCCCACCCCTATACCCCCATCTAGAAAGAATGAATAGATGCAGTAGGAAGAGGGATATTTGCATATTTGGAGCCTATAAAAACATGAAGAAGTAAACAATGAACTTAAAAAATCAATTATTTCATATGTTGAATGTCAGGAAATGAGGAAATTATTCTTAGTTGAAAAGCAGTAACATACAAGGAAACCTCCTTGGGAAATAAAAGAAAGACTTGTATCTCCAATTTCATTTGAAAATTCAGAAGCTATACGAGGCCTACTACTACCAGTTTGTACTCAGGATGAGTTAAGCATATGGGCACAAAGAACATGTAGCCTATGGATCATAATTTCTGACTTGCAAATGTGTTTTTCTTTGTAAAACTTGATTTGTCAATCTAGAATGGCAGAATTTCACATGTTCATTTGCAGAGCACTGATAGTTCTATAGTGCCTCTCAGGATTAAAGTAGTGGGGGAAATGTATAGTCAGGAATAAGCAATTCAGGCCAGAACTCAGAAAACTTTGACTTTTAACAGCATTTGAGCTCTTTCCACATGCCCCTGGGTGTATTCTCAGGACCAAAGACATTGTCTAAAAAACTGTGATATATGTTCAACATATTTCTGAAGGCTTTTTATCATGACAGTGACAAAAAGAAGGAGCAAGGAGTCAGGCATGATATTTTATGCTTGTAATCTCAGCTTATGGGAGGGTAAGGCAGGAGGATTTGCTTGTGTTTGAGATGAGGGTGAGCTACACAGCAGTGAGTCCCAGGCCATTCTGTCTATAGTGTAAAACCCTGCCTCACTCTCACTGAAAGAAAAGGGGAGGGAGGGAGGGGCTTTCTATTAAGAACAAGAGTTGGGAAAATGTAGGAAACAATGAAATAAAATTGAGGAGGTTACATTGAAACAAGTGGTGCCATTAACATGATATGAGAGTTGTTAAAAGGAATAGCTAAGCATTTTCTAGTTCTGAAGTTGGAAAAAAGTGTGGTGGTAGAAAAACACGATAATTCTCTTATAATCCAGAGGGGGGCACTCAATAGCTGGAAGAGCTTGATTGGTTGCTGCCAGAAAAGCCTAGAGGAGTGTTACAGAATTTGTTTTTTCCTTTGCATTCATAGCATCCTTGACTAGTTGCTATATCTAGCTAGGACTAATTACAAGTCATCTACTGTCTGACCTTCTTAAGAAGGCACAAATGTTACCTGAAATTGACTGGCTAATTTGTAGGTAAGCTGTAGGTTTTGCTTTGTTTCCTTAGCTTCTTTTTTTCTCTCTGGTGAAATTGGACTGTGGATAAAGCAAACAAAAGCTGTTACAGTGGAAAACATAGGTGCTTTTTTATGGGATGACTGGTTCAAGGTATTTGATGGAAGCCATTAACACCATCTCTTCATAAGAAGAACAGCTATGTATAGAGAAAGATGAAAACCGCTGTTAGATGTATAGACAAAAATGGCATGTTGGTTTGTCTTTGTTCATATATTACTTCAGTAAATACTTATATAGTAGTTTGTTTAACTACTTAAAAAATTGGAATCTCAAAATTCTAGAACATTGCGTGCCTGCCTCCTTCCCACCTACCCTCCCTCCCTCCCTCCCTTTCTTCCTTCGTTTGTTTTAAAGTCCTTAATGAAAACAAGAACTGGACCAGGATCAGAAATTTTTTGAAGCTATAGAAGTATGCTGATAATCACCAAAATAGAACAGGTTGGAAAGGCTGAAAGAAATGGGTTCACTTACATGAAGGAAGGGAAGTACTTATAAGAAGTAGGCAGCTAGTGTCAGGGACAAATGATGTTCTTTTCCATGAGTACATTAACTTTTAGTAACTTTAGTATAAATTTAGTCAGAAAAACTGTTTATATAGGTGAAACCAAGTGTACATATCATACTCTATGTGTATAATGGGGTCAGTGTTGTTCTATAAACTATTTCCCCCTTGTATCTTTTCTAGATATGGATCAACTCATAAACAGCTTGGAGGTCGAACTTAATTCAGAAAGCGTTTCAATGCAGGTATACAAACAGGTGAGCTTTAAGTTGAATATCTCTTAAGCATTGTAGAATTGAAGCCCCATTTTCAAATGAAATGTATAGAAAATGAGAAGGGATAAAAGAAGGTAGCTTTTTTCCCAGAATTAATGTCTAGGTGTGAATTTCAACTGTATGACCTCAAAGAAACAGGTTCATATTGTCTCTGTAGTCTTTGGTGAACTAGGATCATTTATTTCACACTATCCCTAATTTCAGATATGGTGAAGATTGTGTTCTTTGTTTAATTTCTTCAGTAACCATGTTGAACAGTATATTAGAGTTTTCTAGGAGGCATCCTGTTGACTCTATTTCCCTATTAACTATTTCCCTAGAGAACCCTGGCTAACACTTTGGGAGAAAGAGAGAGAGTAGAAAAAAGGACACACACACACACACATTTTAAGGAAGCTGGCTCCTGTGATTATAAATGTATGGCAAGTTCAAAATCTTATGGACTGGCTAGATCCGCAAACTATAGAGTTAGAAATAGTAGGCACTTCCAGGTACCAAATGTGGTGGCACAAGTCTATAATCTTTGTACTCAGGAGGTTGAACCAGGAAGATGGTGAGTTCTAGCCCAAGGAGATCCTGTCCAAAAAGAAAAGCAATTCTTTCTTTCACTGTGAAAAATCAGTCTCAGTGTCCTAGTTTACTTCTGTTATGATAAACACCGTGACCAAAAAATAAAAAAAAAAAAATAAATAAAAAATAAAAAATAAAAAAAATAAAAAAAAAGAAGAAGAAAAAAAAAGCAACATGGGGAGGGAGAGGGTTAATTTATATTATCATTCACAATCAAGGAAATCAAGGCACGAATTTAAAAGCAGGAATCTGGAAGCAGAGACCACTGAGAAACACTACTTGCTTCTCCTCCTTTGCTTTGCTTGTAACCCAGGCCTCACCTGCCCAGTGATATCCCCTCCCAAGTCAGTCATTAAGAAACCCCCTACTAACTGCTCACAGGCCAATTTGATGGAGAAAATTTCTCAATTGAAGGTTCATCTTCCTAAGTATGTCTATGATACTTAGACTTTGTTTTATTTTATTTTTTTTAAAGATTTATTTATTATGTATACATTATTCTGCCTGCGTGTGTCCTGCATGCCAGAAGAGGGCACCAAATCTTACAAATGGTTGTGAGCCACCATATCATTGCTGGAATTGAACTCAAGACTTCTGGAAGAGTAGCCAGCGCTCTTACCTCTGAGCCATCTCTCCAGTCCAGTCTTTCTTTTATTTAGGGATTTAATAATTTATTAAAGCCTATTCACTTCATGGAAATGGTTTCTTCCAAGTCCAGTGATTTAAATATTTCTTCCATTGGGAAAAAAGAAGCAGTTGCGGTAGTCCACATCTTTAATTCTCTATTCAGGAGGTAGAGGTAATCACATCTCTGAGTTCAAGGTCAGCCTGGTCTACATAGTAGTACTAAAAGAAAGATTTCTAATTTAGAACACACATGCTGCTTTTCATTTTCTGGATTTCTATATATTTGTACCATACACAGGAGCACTTGGCTGTCATCCATCTTTTGTTTCTAGTTTATGGTTGTTTTCTTGAAGTGCCTTATCATATACGTGCCTCTTCCCATGTACGTCCTGTGACTGTTACCATTTTATGAACGTTTTGTTTCTCTCTCTCTCTCTCTCACACACACACACACACTCACACACACTCACACACACACTTTTCTTTTCTACTTTAAAAGGTAAGCTGCATCAAGAAACTTAACCCCTCAGTAGTTGTACTCACCTGCAAATAATCACACTCTCATATAAAACTCATCAGAACAGCCACATCCCCCAAATGAACAGTTTTCCATAATAGTATTTAATGGAAATATATATGCATTTCCGAGAGATTTTCAATGGCTTATTTTATTAAACTTACATTTGTCCACCAAGACTGTGGCTGAGTCAATCCAATCCTTACCACATTTAGGAGCCCAAATTTCAATTCTATCTCTTCTATAAAATTTTCCCTGACAGACTAATACCGATAAATCTCTTGTGCTCTCATACTCTCAGAATATTAATAACTATCAATCACCCACGTAGTTCCAATCATTTATTGTCCCGTATTGTCAGCTGTAATATGGAAATATCTCACATTTACTTTCGATGGTTTTCATGTCCTAATGAACATTTCTTGCTTGCTTCCCCCCCCCCTTTTTAAAGACTTATTGTTTTAGTTGCATGTTTTATGTGGCTGTGTGCATATGAGTTCAGGTACTCTGGAGGCCATAGTCATTAGATCCCTTTGAAGCTAGATTTACAGGTAGTTGTGATCTGCCCACAATGGTAATAACAAATCCATTCTCACAGAATCCTAGAAGCAGAAGTCTGAAAGCAAGTTGTTACCACTGCTCTGGACTATCAAATCATATCCGTTGTCACAGAGAAAAGGTTTCTTGACGTTTCACACACCTGGTAGATACAGGCATTCCGTCTTGTGGCCCTATCACTCTGGTATCTACTTGTGTGTTCACATCTCCTTATTTTGTATATCCTATAAAGAACTGAATTTCACCCCCTAGGTAATCCTGAGTGGTTGCTTTAAGATCCATAATTCTATTTGCAATTATTCCTTTCCAAAATAGGTGATTTTCATTGATTCTGGGTACTGAGGTATAGATAGATCTTTTCTGGGTGATTATCTTTCTGCTTGGTATAATATGTTACAACACATATAGTTGTTAAAATAATTTTGATGATGTATCACTAAGAGCAATCACACATTACAAAGAAATTATTTCCCTTTTTTGGTTTTAAGCTAGGCACTAATATTTCCATGCTGTATAATAAGTAAATAAATAGAATGCACTTATGAATATATATGTATTGTATGTACATATGTATAGTCTGTGGTTTTATCTCTTTGGTCTTTTTAAAATTTTTTTGTTTGTGTTTTGTTTTTTGAAAGGCTCTTGTCATGTATTCTAGGCTGACCTGGAACTTAACATCCTTCAGCCTCATTCCCCTGAGTTCTGGGATTACAGATGTGTGCATTTTTTATCTTGGTTCCCCCTCCCCAGGTGTTTTTGTTAGCATCCTACTCTCTTAAAATTGTCACGTTCATTAGTTTGTATAAAGAGGGATTGTCCAATAGTGCTTTATTCTCTAATATTGTTGAGGTAGTGGAGATATAAGATTCAGAATTCCTCTAGGTTTATATTAAATTTAGCTTTTTAATAGTATTCATCTTCATCCATTTTTTTTCTAATACTGAAACATATCATGGCATTATTGGAGAAGGATTGGAATTTCAGAGGGTTAAACTGGCTTTTCCACCAAAATAATGAATGTGCATAATATATGTGTACGCACACACAAGTGCACCCAGGCATGAAAATGATTAGTCTAAACCCAGAGCGAAGCTAGAAGAGACCTGTGTACAAAAACAGCTTTTATCTTTCTCTTGGGGAGGAGCCTGGGTTTTATCTTGTTACCATGACAACACTCCTTCCTCTCCTTTCTACTTACTGCGCTGCCTGCAGTATTTTGTTCTTTCATTTTCTTTCTTGTCTTGCCTTCCTACTTTAAAGCTCCACATCAGAGCTATTTCAGATAAATGAGAAGTAACATTTTAGTTTTCCTCAGTTGATTTCCACTAGTTTCCTAAAGTCAAGGCTGTCTCATCACATGTTTAAGACATGTTTAAGAGTTTAAATATTTATAAAAGTGACCACTTTTTTGGGGGGGTGGATTTCTTTGTAGAATTGCCTTTCTCCATGATCTCTGCTGATTTGTCAATAATGAATTTAAGAAAAATGCCAATTCAACTACTCTTTAAAAGAAATAAAAAAAAAAGCATGACTAGGATCCTGGGCATGTAAGGAGGACTATGGGAAGTAAAACATCTTTAAAACGACTCCCAAATTTTTGGACTGTCCATACACAGCTTTATTCACAGAATCAGAAAGCCTGGAAAACTGTAGCTTCAGGGTTTAAAATAGCAAATGGGGAAAGTAGCCATTCTCTTTCTTTGAAGAGTGGTTAATTATTCACTAGAGAACACTCAAAACCTGAAACTGCCCTACAGTATTGAAGAAGGGAAAAAGATGAGTTAATGAGAAAAATTTCATGGCAGAGCTTTGCATCAGTTTCCATATGAGCTTTCAAACCTGTAGTTTTTATTTTCATTGAAGAGTAGAATATGGAGCTACTCATTAGGCAGTCACCATAATCCTGGGCTGTAAACTCATTCCTTATGTCATTCTTCTTTAGAATCTCCAAGTGCAACATTCTGTGTAGTATGAGAAGAGAAAGTGGGTAGTGCTTGTTTATTGTTGTTTGTTATTTGTTTTTTCCTTTTTTACCATAGTGATTGTTTTATACAAAATACAGGATAAAAAATACTACATATCAGGATTCTTAGTAAAACTATTTTGATCAAATTTAAAAGGTAATCACTGGTACGCGTAAGCAAAATCATTGCTTATACTAGTGGAATATGGAACAATTGTCTTTAAGTCACAAAAGCAAGAGGATCCTTGATGGATGCTTTCAACTGCAGTACAGTTTCTTAATCACTAACACCCAGGACACACTTGCTATAGGCCAGATTCATGTCGATATAACAGGTACATGTGAAATCAGTGTGTCCAGATGGAAAATATCATGATATTTTTTACAGAAGTTACTAGAACACTAGGATCTCAACAACCACCTTCTAACATTTGTCTCAAAGCCATGTGATAATATCAAGAGAGAGCAATGTCCAGCACCATGGCAGTTTTAATGAAAAAGTGAAACTCTACAAGCAGGCTTGGGCTGTACAATGTCAACCCAGGATAGACAGTTTGAGCATGGCCCATTATGGAAGCAATAAGTGAATATTCATTTCTATACTTTATTTGTTCTGTTTTCATTCTGGATATTCCTGACTAATGTTCAGGAGTAGCTGTAGCTCTAGGACCAGCTCAGCACAAACCCTTGTGCTGATAGTATTTTTGTGGGCATCACACTTGGTCTTAGAAATGGTCTCCACTTTATATTTAAGACTAACTTAAATTTTGGTGATTTTAGAATTTCAGGCCTAATGCATGCTAACCTATTAAAATTATTAACTAGGTAATTCCTTTTTGTATCTACTTATACATCAGTCCTAATGATCTTATTATAGAAAATATTATATGTAGGGCTGAGGAGATGCCTCAGTGGTTAGTAGTGTATACTGCTGTTGCAGAGAGAGATTCTGAATTCAATTGCCAGCATCCAAATTAGGCAGCTCACAACCACATGTAACTACAGGCCCAGGGAATTCAGTTTCTCCATGCTTCTTCATATGCTTTCTTCCGTCATTTCAGAAGCATCTCAGTGGGCTCAATAAAATCCCGATAGCAGGAGCAGGTTTGGCACCAAGTAAAGATTAGAGGATGAAGTTACTAACAACTGCTTCACTGTGATAAAGAGATGGCTTGGGGTTAAGAGTGCTTGGTGCCATTGTACAGGGCTTAAGGTTCAGTTCTCAGCACCTGTCCTCCACAGAAAAGTAGGCACAATGTGCACATACATACCCACATGTACACACATATACAGGCTTACATAATTCACAATAAAAGTAAGTCTTTGGAGGGGGGTTGAAGCAGGGTCTCTCTGTGTAGCCCCGGCTGTCCTAGAACCCACTCTGTAGACCAAGATGGCCTTGAACTCAGAGATCTGCCTGTCTCTGCCTCCCAAGTGCTGGGATTAAAGGTGTGGGCCACCAGTGCCCATCGATAAAAGTAAATCTTAAAAAGAAAGAAAAAATATGACATCTAACAACAACTTTTATTGTTGCTCCTTCCTCAGTTTCATCAGAAACCATGGTTAAAAAAATATAGGGAAATAGATGGCCTTCCTGCTCTGCTTACAGATTCTTTTGATTGTACTTCTGTTACCAGTGAACAAAGCTACTCAGGCAGAGGCAAATGGGGATGGGTGTGTGTGTGTGTGTGTGTGTGTGTGTGTGTGTGTGTGTGTGTGTGTGTGTGTGTGTGTGGTGGGGCAGCTTAAATTGATTTGAGAGAGCTGGGTGTTGTTGGTGCACACCTTTAGTCCCAGCACTTGGGAGGCAGAGGCAGGTATAGCTCTGTGAGTTCAGTGCCAGCCTGGTCTACAGATCTAGTTCCAGGACAAGGCTCCAAAGCAATAGAGAGAAACCCTGCCTCGAAAAACAAAACAAAACAAAACAAAACAAAACAAAACAAAAAAATATTTGGGAGATTCAGAGGTCAGTAAAGGGTGATTAGTAAAATGGTTACTTTTTAAATTTTATTTTTATGTGTATTTGTGTGTATGCCTGTGTGTGAACACCATGTGTGTGCATGTGTCAACAGAGGCCAGCAGAGGACATTGGGTCCCTTTGAACTGGAGTTCCAAGTAGTTGTGAACCACCTGATGTGGGTTCTGGGAACCCAGAGCCTTCTCCTTAGCCCTCTAATCTTCCTGGTGCCACACCTTCTCCTTCTAGAGGAATTTTACTGAGCCTGTTTCTTTCACAAAGGGGTTAATCCCTGCGTAATTAGTGGTTGCATAAGATGCTTCTGGAATGATGCAAGAAAGCATATGAAGAAGTACAATTTTTTTTTTTAAAAATTAACACAAGGCCTGAGTTCAGATGGGGGCTTGCAAGTCAAGAAAACAATGTCTCAACAAGCAGAAGAAGCCTATAGAAGCTTGGCTAAGTTCTGGAGATTGAGTATAGATTCTTTTTCTGTGCCCACAGTCATTCCCAGAATGCTTTTGGTGGGTGGTGGTCTGTGAGTGAAGTCACAGCAAGAGGACACAACCTCTCCATATTTCTCTTCCCTTGCAGGGTTCAGCTCCTTATTTTCTCTCATCATTTTTTAAAAAAAGTAGTTACTACTGTGGTGCCACTATCATACCTTATAATTAACAAAACTCTTCAGTCAAGTTTCTCCACTTGTCTTACCAAAATAGTTCTGTTTGTTTCTTTTCTTTAAATGTAATATTATTCATCTCTCACTGTTCTCTAGTCATTGAGCACAAATTGAAATAGTTTTGCTCATGTCATTCTACTCCTCTATTACCCAACCATTTTTTCAAACCCTCTTTTCCCCTTCTTTCCAAATATAACTGTAGACTAGCTCAATTTCATATAAAGTAAGTATTTTGAACATCTCTCATGGTTTAAAACTTCCATAAGTCCTATGTGTTGTCAGAGAACAAAGGCTTGCTCTGATTATTGGCTGAAGTGGTACTGCCATCTCCAAGGCCATTTTCATGATCTATATTTCTTGGCTATTGTATACATAGTACACAACATCCTTGACATCTGATTTGATCACATTTTTAGAGATATTTTAAATAGGTTAGAACTTTCATGTTTATATTGCCCATTCAATGACCACTTTAGCATTTTTTAATGTATTTTAGTTGCTGAATTAAAAACAAAGTTCATATACTTTAATGTGGTGCCACATCATGTTTGGATATGTGTACACGTTGAATAATGTGCAGCTTATGTTAAACCTAGTCATTTACTCAAACATTTTTTTAAACATTTATTTATGTATGAACGTTCTGTCTGCATGTACACATTTATGCCAGAAGAGGGCACCAGATCCCACTATAGGTAGGTGGTTGTGTTAAACCATGTGGTTGCTGGAAATTGAACTCAAGATCTTTGGAAGAGCAGCTAGTGCTCTTAACTGCTGACCTGTCTCTCCAGCCCTGCATTTATTATTCTATAATGAAATTGGCAATAATTTCTGTTTTTTTTAATTTTTACTTATTTTTATGTATGTGAGCCTGCATGAGTACATGTGCCTGCAGTGTTTTATAGGCAGAAGAGGATGTTAGGTCCCGATGAAACTGAAATTACAGGTGGCTTGTGAGCTGCTATGTGGATGTTGGGAACTGAAACTAGGTCATATGCAAGAACAGTAAGCATTCTTAATGGCTGAGCCATCTCTCCAGGCCAGTGTTATGTGAATTCCTGGGTTCTTTGCTTCATCAAACCATAGCTTAGCTCTCATTGATCATTCTTTACCCATCCTCCTTCCATTGTTTCTAAGCTCTGGTAGTGAGTTTTTCTGCTCCCAACTTGTACAAATTGAGCTGGGATTTTTTTTGTTGTTGTTTTGTTTTAAAGATCCCACACATGAGTAGGATCATATGGTACTTCTCTCTCTGTGCCTCCGTTTCTTCCCTTAAAATAAAGATCTTCAATTCCATCCATATTGAACTAATAACAGAATTGTATTCTTTTATGTATCATGTTTTCTTTATCTTTTATCAATTGGTAGACAGATTCCATCCATGTCTTGGCTGTTGTGAATAGAGCTGTAGTGAACATGAGAGTACAAGTGTTTTGGTCTGTGTCTCTGTTTCTGTTTCTCTGTATCTTTTAACTCTCTCTGTGTGTATAGACCAAGTCTTTCTGTGTACCCCAAGCTGGTCTCAAACTCATGATCCTCTCACCTCAGCCTCCTCTGCCTCAGCCTCCCCATTGATGGCATTATAGATGTGCATTTATTTTTAAAATATTCTACAATTTAGAATGTACAAATTTTAATATTGCATGTATCATATTCCCTGTGCATATTATCTGCTAGCATACCATTGCAAATTGAAGTGTTATTCTTACCTCTTTTCTTTCCTTAAGAAAGCCTATTAATTCTCTTACTCATCTGAAATGTCACCAACTCCTTAAAGCCTTCCCTATCTAGATAGAACAAATTACCTAACCTTCCCCCCCACCCCCACCCAACAAACCTTTTTTATGTTGGAAATGGTACCTGTGGCTTGGATTTTGTTAGGCAAGTTATGTACCGCTGTGTTACATGTAATTCCTTGTTTGTTTCTCTGGAGCTTCTTGTTCATATGTCACATCACTTAATTCAGTATGATTTGCAAACTACTCATACTAATATTTTAATTAGTATATATTTAGCTGTGCTTACTCATAACTGATATCATTTATCACAGTGCGTTTGCAGGAAGATTGTGTAAATGGTTTCTGCTTTCTTTTTTTTTTATTGAAGAGCTATTTTCTAAATGAATATCCTTTTATTGGATTTTTCAAGTTAAAATTGAATTTTATTTCAGATCTATGATTGTGAAAATTTAAGTAAGGGACTTTTATCAATTGTGTGATATAGCAGTACCAACACTTAACACTGGTGCTTGGAAACATTTTTTCCTCTTTCTATTCTTTAGTATATTACAGTCTCATTTCTTTCAGTATGATGTATCGTTTCCATGAGTATAGTAGAAGTTTCTTTCTTTCATTGTTCTTATGTCTCTTTAGAGTACTAATGGTGGTTGTCTTACCTCATAATTGTTTATTTTAGGTCACTGGCCCTGTTCAGATCAGAAATCGCCCTGTGACAGCAGACAGAAGTAATATGACTTCTCCACCACTCCTGGATGCCAGCTCAATGGAGAACCCAGCCCTATTTAATGATATCAAGATTGAGCCGCCAGAAGAACTCCTGGCTAGTGATTTCAACATGCCCCAGGTGGAACCAGTTGATCTCTCCTTTCACAAGCCGAAGGCTCCTCTTCAGCCTGCTAGCATGCTACAAGCTCCAATACGACCTCCCAAGCCACCGTCTGCAGCCCAAGCCATTGTGGTGTCTACTTCATCTGACACAGGCACCTCACCAACCATCCCTACTGTTCTCACTCCAGGCTCTATCCTAGCCTCCTCTCAGGGGACCGGGGGCCAGCCGATTTTACATGTGATTCACACTATTCCCTCAGTCAGTTTGCCAAATAAGATGGGCGGACTAAAGACAATCCCACTGGTGGTTCAGTCTTTGCCTATGGTCTATACCAGTTTGCCTGCAGATGGAAGCCCTGCAGCTATTACTGTCCCACTCATTGGAGGAGATGGCAAAAATGCTGGATCAGGTGAGTAGGATATACAGCTTCTTACAGTCACTTGTCTTCTTTTCTGAGCCATTCTATAGTGTCTCTTTTCATCTCTTCCAATTTTGAGGGAACACTGTTTTCAAAGGGGACTTGTTTTAATTATCATTTTTTAAAAAAGTGGTTTTAAAATCATTTCTATGTAATGTTTAAGAATCTGTATGAGCCATGTGTTTTGGCACATACCTGTAATCTTGGTACTTGAGAGGCTGGGGCAAGAATGATTGTATTGCAAGTTCTAGGCCACACCTTGGTCTAGGTTACCTAGGGAGACCTTGTCATGAAAGAACCTATAATTGATCTCCTTTAGACCATGTTCTCAAACCGGGATGCATATTCTTGGCTGAAATATTATGCATCTTCCTAGAATCTTCATATGCTATTATTTGATAATAAAGAATTGAAAGCATCATATTTAAAACATTGCTGTTGTAAAGCAAAATTTGAACACAGTTAAATTACAAACTCAAAAAAAATAGTTTACACTTGCTAAGACACTGTCCATCTCTGTGACTTCCTAGGTTATTGTACTTTTTTTTCTGTGCCATTAGGAGTACTTTGTTAGCAAATTCAATATTCCTAACACTACCAAAACTTGGCCAAGTTTAGCTCTCACCTCTCACCACACCTTCCCTATTCTCTATAGAAAAGTCTCTGCAATATAGCCACATTTCCTGGGCAGCCCTTTATTTGACATCTGTGACCTTCCTTTTAAGATTTTATTGCTTTTAAGAGTTTATTTGATTTCAAGAGTATGAGGCCATTTTTCCTAACTGGGTTGGCAATTCTCAAGAACATTCTTACGCTGTGACTGCACCTCTCCAGAGACACCCACCACAGGGCTCTCTAGTAGTTGTTTAACTACAGATCATTTGTTGAACAAATAAGGCTGAAAATTTGCTCAGAATAGTTTCATATGCTATCATCTATTCATTTATTTATGTTTTGTGATACTGCTCATTTAATTGAGGGTCTCACACATGGCAAACAAGTACTCTACTACTGATACAGTTTCATGTCTTTGAACATATTACCCAAGCAGATGTTGACCTTAATGATTATTCTGCATCAGCTGGGGTTTCAGGTGTGTGTCACCAGTCCTATATTATTTACCTTTTGAAGTGAGCTCAGAATTCAAAAGGTATAAATTAAGCCCCATCTTTCATTGTCCTCAACAATAGTTCTCTTTCCAGAATTGCATTTATTTTAGTTCATAATCTGTTGCTTCTGACATGGTTTGAAATATTACAGTTAGCTTTTTTTTTTTTTTAAAGACATGGTTTCTCTTCTTTGTAGCCCTGACTGTCCTGGAACTAGCTCTGTAGACCTGGCTGGCCTTGAACTTAAAATTAGCCTTGAGTGTTGTAATTATTGGGATAATTCTAGAAATTCTCTCAAGACAGTCAAGGGGACTGTTCAGAGACTTCAGTGTCCCCAAAATACATTGAACCCATCTTTTCATACTGTTCAGAGATTTCAGTGTCCCCAAAATACGTTGAACCCACCTTTTCTGCACAATCTATCCAAGGAGCTGGAGATAGAGGGATGGATACATCACACTTAGATTGTGTCCTAGAGAAATTCACATCCTGGTGATGCAAGAACAGTCTTGATACCCTGTCCCTTCTTCTGTCCCTTCTTATGCTACAGAAATTGTTCACTGTTACTGTCTTCCTCCTCTTTCTTTTTTTAAAATAATTTTGTGTCTTCCACTTCTTAATATGGGCCAAACTGGAAGTCCTGAAAGTAATTGTTGAGTTGAAAAAATTGTAGAGGTGCACACATCCTGATCTACAGTGCTCCTTTTCTTTGCTTTTAGTCAAAGTTGACCCCACCTCCATGTCTCCACTGGAGTTTCCAAGTGATAGTGAGGAGAGTGCCATTGAGAGTGGATCTTCAGCCTTACAGGGACTGCATGGATTTCAGCAAGAGTAAGTACTAGTGTGTGTGTGTGTGTGTGTGTGTGTGTGTGTGTGTGTGTGTGTGCGCGCGCGCACGTGTGCACATATGCGCGTGCATGCATATAGAGTTAAAATTAAACAGAACACAACATTAAAAGTTTGAGGAAAATAAAATGCAAACTAACTGCTTTCCCCAAGAACTATGTAATTGTGTGGACATACATGTGTATGTTCATGCATGTTATAATAGAATTACATTCTAATTGTATATCATGAATTCTATCCTTGAGAAAAATCTTTCAATTTCCCAAAAATTTTACTTTTGTGGTGTTTTTCTCTACAAGTTTAAAATAGCCTGGTTTTCTAATCTTGAAATGTATCGGAAGCAATTAGCTTGCATTGAGCAAACATGTTATATGAAAAAATGCATTTTGTTAAGCACAAGAATAGCACTTGTTGAAGTGAAATGTTCACACTGTTTGACAACATATTTATTCAAGGAAAAATCACCACTCCTATGCTTTCTCAGGGAGCTGCATTTCCTAAGTAGACTGGCCTAGTTGAAAAAATTGCTTACATTTCTCCTATTTCTTCTCTTAGGGAGCTAGCATTAAATTTGCATAAATGATAAGATGGTATGAAGTACCACCATTGTAATTGGTGTTATCTTACTTTCTTTGCTCAGACCAGCAACAATGGCCCAAATGCAGGGAGAAGACTCTCTTGACTTAAAGAGAAGACGGATTCACCAGTGTGACTTTGCAGGATGCAGCAAAGTGTACACCAAAAGCTCTCACCTGAAAGCTCACCGCAGGATCCATACAGGTCTGCCCCTCGTGTCCCCCCCGCCCCCCCTCCCGCGTTCCAGCTTCAGCGCACACTTGCATACACATATACTATGACAGAGGAGGCTGGGGGAGAGAGAAAAGCTACAAGGAAGAAAAGATCACTTATGGGTTTTGGCCATATTGTTCTTATCCTAAAACCACAGTCTAGCAAAACAAAAAGCCTATTACCTTTCAAGTAAGTGTGCTTTTGTGCCTAGTTTTGCAGTGCTAGGTATTAAATAAAACCAAAGTATCATTCATGATATTCAAGTACTCTATCAACTTAGTTATATTACCAGCTCCTTTTGTTTTGTTTTGTTATTTTGACATTGGATCTCATGTAGCCAACCTCTGACCTCAAACTTTCTATGTAGCTGGGCTGACTTTGAATTTCTGATGCTTTTGCCTTCATATCCCAAGTCCTGGGATTATAAACATCATATTTTTGAGTTTTGTTTAAGGAATCTCCATACTGTTCTCTATGAACTAGTTTACTTTCCTACCAGCAGTACATCAGGAATCTTTCTCCATATTCTTCTCAGCGTATTGTGTTATATTTGTTTGTTTGTTATACTAGCCATTCTGACAAGGCTAAAGTAGAATATAATTTCTCTTGTGCATCTGTAGTGGCTGGACACTGAGCATTTTCCATGTATTTGCTGAAGCACTTGTTATTTTTGTCTTCTCAGTAGTGTGTGTTCACATTTTTTTCCCATTTAGTGACTAAATTACTCATTTGCTGTTAACTTTTTTGAATTCTGTGTATATTTTGGATGTGAATCCTCTCTCATATGCATAACTAGCAGAGGTTTATCTCTCATTCTATCAATTGTCAGTGTCTTATGTTGATTGTTTCTTTATACTGCAGATGTATTTCTTATCACCCCATGTGTCACATTTTGATTTTATTTCCTGAGCTATTGGGGTCATTGAAGTATTTTACATATTTTCCTCTAAGAGTTTCAGAATTATGGTTCTAACATTAGTTTCTGTAGCATTTTGAGTTGAGTTTTGTTTAGTGAGAACCAGGGATATATTTTCAATATTTTCCTGGCACCATTTATTGCCAAGGATGATCTTTCCCCAGTATATATATGGATTAGCTATTTCTCATCATTTGAACTAAATATTTGAGCAAATCAACTTGAAAGAGGGGAGATTTATTTTGGTTTCTGGTTTCAGATGTTTTAGGCTATGGCTACCTCTCTGTTGCTTCAGGGAAGAGCATGTCAGGGAATGGGGTGGCTCACCATATGGTGGCATATAAGAGACACAGGGATAAACAAAGACAGGCCATGGACAAGATATGCCTTCTGAGTATGTACCTTCATACTGCAACTGATCTACTTCCTCTATGCAGGCCCTGACTCGTGTTTTACATTATTTACGAATAATGTAAAGTTTTAAGAGAATGAATGGATTTAATATTGAGTATAATCCTCAAAATCCAGTCACTTCTAGCATTACCAACTAGGGACAAGCCATCAATACATAATCCATATAACCTTTTGGGGTTATTTTACACTGAAACATACTGTTTTGTTTTGTTTTTGTCAAGAATCAGATGACTACAGATGTGTGGATTTATTTCTAGGTTCTTTATTCTATTCCATTGACCTGTGTGTCTGATTTTTATACCAGTACTGTTGTTTTGTTGTTGTTACTATTGCTCTGTAGAATTCTGGAATACCTTCAGTATTACTTTCCTAAGCATTTTGTTTAAGATTGCTTTGGCTATTTAGGTCATTTGTGCATCCATATAAATTGCAAGTTTGCCTGGCAGTAGTGTCACATGCCTTTAATTCCAGCACTCAGGAGGCAGAGGCAGAGGGATCTCTGTGAGTTCTAGGCCAGCCTGGTCTACAAATTAGTTCCAGGAGAGCCAGAATTGTCACAGAGACAGAGAAAGCATGTCTTGAAAAACCAAAAAAAAAAAAAAAAAATTAAAAGACTACAGTACACATACCTTTTCCACATTGCTTTATATATATTTATAAGAACATAGAGTTATGATAATGCTGGAAAGGGGGTTTAGGAAACCATTCAGATTCATTGTTTATGGCATGGTGTTAATGAAATGATACAAGGGAAACAGAACAATCATTTTATTTGTGTTTCCTTTTAAATATCATCTATATTTTTATTACAAGAAAAAGAAAACTCAGGTTGTCAGGCTTGGCAGCAAGCACCATTACCAAGTAAAGAAGACCATTTCAGTGTGCTCGTTCTCTCCTCCACCCCCCCCCCCGTGTGTGTGTGTGTGTGTGTGTGTGTGTGTGTGTGTGTCTGTCTGTCTGTCTGTCTGCCTGCCTGTCCGTCTTTCTGCCATCTCTTGTCTTGCTATATTGCTCTGGATAAAATTTCAAACACTGTATTTAGAAGGAGTATGGATGGTAGACATCTTTGTCTTGTTTTTTTATTGTACAAGAAATGCTCCTAAATTCTCCTCATTCAGTATTACGCTGGCTATAGATTTGCTGTATATAGCCTTTATCATGTTGGATGTGACCCTCTTGTTCCTTATTCCTTCAAGGTTTATATTATGAATATATGTTGAACTATATCAGAGTCCTGGCTTGCATTAATTGAGATTATCATTTATCTTTGATCCTGTTTATGTACTGTGTTACATTTATTTATTTGTGCACATTGACCTATCTTGGCACACTAGAATGAAATCAAGTTAACCATGGATTATTATTTTTGATATGCTGTTTTATTCAGTTTGAAAATAATTTATTGAGGATTTTTATATGTTTATCAAGGCTGTTGGCCTGTACCTTGCTTGCTTGCTTGCTTTTTTTTTTTTTTTTTCATTATGTCCTCATCAGGTTTTGGTATCTAGATAACAGTGATTTTAACTTGAACAAAAGATTATTTAACCATAATAAAAGGCAAAGGTCTTGAAGTAGAAAGACACACTTCTTCCTGAAGTATTTTTGAATCTGAGTGCTCTAGCAGTGAGCTCAGATTGCCACATGGTGGCACTCCTTTAACAAGACAGTTATTATTCATTCGGGTGTAGTGAAAGTAGAACTTCCTTGAGTAATTACAATAAAGTCTATACATAGCAAAACTGTTGTAAAGTGTAGAGATGGGATACTATCATTTTGAATAAAAGTGAAAAAATCTCATTTGCATTTCCTACATTCTCTGAAATTCTTTTCTCCTTTCTAGATGTTAATGATCATGTGTAACCTTCCAGTCTTTTGTTTGGCGAGAGATAGACAAGATAGCCCTGACTAGTACTCACTCTGTAGACCAGGCTTGCATTGAACTCAAAGATCTTCCTGTCTCTTCCTTGTGTGTCTGGGATTAAAGGTGTGTACCACTATACCAAGGTTATCTTTAGTCTTAGTACATTCGGCTGGCTGTGTGTCAGTCTTCTTTGAGGTTAATGCAGCAGTTGAAATGATCACCAACCAAATAGTTTCCTGGTAATACTTCAAACCTGTGAGCTAGACTGGACTCCATTCTGTTGTCTGTTATCTAACAGTTAAACAGTTAATTAGTTAACACTTGATAGGGTTAGTAGGTGGCAAGCAGCAAGTTAAAAGATGCAAATCTGATTGCCACTAGAATTTAAAACAGCAAAAAGTAAATGCCTCAGAAATTTTATAATGGGGAAAGGAGGGATATAATAACAAAGACTGTTGGAATCCTAATACACTTTGTGTCTGCATTATTGCTTGTCTCTGATTATAAAATAATACATACTCATTATAGTGGATGAGAAACAGAAGCATATTAAGGAAAAACAAATATTGCTATGATTTGTGACCTACATTTAACCACAGTTATTCATATAGCATATTTGCTTTAATTAAAAAATCATGGCTGGGCCATGGTGATGCGTGCTTATAATCCCAGGCAGAGGCAGGCATATCTCTAAATTCAAGGCCAGTCTGACCTTCAGAGTGAATTCCAGGATAGCCAGGCTACACAGAGAAACCATCTCAAAAATAATAGGTTTATTTATTTTTACTTTATGTGTAGGGGTGTTCTTCCTGTGTGTATGTCTGTATACCATAAATGTGCCTGGTGCCACAGAGGCTAGAAGAAGGCATCAGATCCCTTGGATATGGAATTACTGGTGGTGGTGATGTACCATGTGGTTGCTGGGAATTGAGCCTGGGTCCTCTGGAAGAGCAGCCAATGCTTAGAAACATTGAGACATACATCCGGCTCCAATTAATTAACTTTTGCAACATAATCTCACTTAGGAACCCAGTCTAGCCTCAAACTCTTGGACCTCCGGTTTACTTGTGTTTACTACCACTCCTGGCTTAATTTTTTGTTGTATATTATACCTATCATATATTATATGTCTGTATCATGATTTTAAACTATTCAAACAGTACAAAAAGTTATTTTAAAAAGGCCTCCTACCATCCTTCACCTTGACTTTTCTCATTGTTGGTACTTTTTCTATAATTTTTATTTCAGTGTGTTGATGTTTACTTTGTCTTGAGTGTACAAATGTATGGTGTGCATATAATGAGGTTGTGCTGTGGTAATTCTCTCTATACTAAGTTTTTCCATTTTTCTTTCTCTCTTGGACTTGACAGCTCTCCCCATCCCTTTCCTTGTATGAGTTTCCTAGCTTACACAGAAGCAAGCACACTTTAGCTCAGTGCTCTTTTCATTGAGTCACATGTTTTTATTGTAGATGGATTTATTTCAGATTGTTCATTAGGAAGTATCCTATGAGAGAATATGGTTAGAACAGTGTAGTATCATGGAGAGTGACAGCCACCTGGATTTGTGTTAAAATTTGCATGTCAAATTCCGCCTACAGGCTGGTGTGTTTGAAAACTTGGTCCCCAGCTGCTTGTGCTGTTTGGGGGAGGTTGTGGAATTTTTGGCAGTTGGTGTTGGATGTAGGAAGTGAATCTCCAGGAGGTAGGCTTATAGCCCAGTCCCACTTTGTCCTTTTCTGTTTCCTGATCTACAGAGATGTGAGTACATGCTGAACCAAGCTCCTGACCAAATGGAGCCTCCTGTCACCATGGCTACTTTGCCTTAATAGACTGGATGCCCTTAAACCACATGATCTGGAATAAGTCTTTTCTTCTATAACTTACTTCTTGCCAGTATTTGGTCACAGATAGGAGAAATGTAATGAATACAGTTTGTATTTCAGTTGCAGTGCTCCCTAGCAATCTGATTTTTTTTCTTTCCTCTTTTGATCTGCTACTTCACTATATAGCCTTGTATAGCCTGAAACTCACTATGTAGATTTGCCTGCCTCTCACTTTTGAGTGCTAGGGTTTTAGGCATGTTTTCCTATGTGTGCCTCCACTGTCTGTTTACCTTTTAAAATGTTTTGAACAACCTTGTGAGATATTTTTGCCTCTGTTTAAATTTGAGAAAATAGACTTGGCCAGGGGAAAGCTACTGTTTATATGTGGTTAGCTTGGTAGAAGCAGGACTCAAAGAGTCTTTGAGAGTCCATATTCTCTCCACTTTACTACCTCAGCCTAAGTTTAGACCTTCTGCAAACAACAGTGTGCAGTCAAGTAGACTTTTAGGTATTATCATCACTACAAAACCCAATAACTATGTGAAGTAATACATATACTAACCAGTTAGATTTAACCAGTCCACAGTGTATGCATATTTTGCAACTTGTAGAAGACAAGCAATATGATGTTTATTTGTCAAACTAATTAAATAAAGGTGAATGAGAGTGTCCCTCCAAGGTGATTGTCATACTTTGGGACTAAAGCTTTGATATAAATACAAATTATGTATTCTGCTATCTTTCTGGTAGCCAGTTATTTCCTGATTACTTCCATTTTGCCATGTTCTCCCTGCAGGAGAGAAGCCTTACAAGTGCACCTGGGATGGCTGCTCCTGGAAATTTGCTCGCTCGGATGAGCTCACTCGCCATTTCCGTAAGCACACAGGCATCAAGCCCTTCAGGTGCACAGACTGCAACCGCAGTTTTTCGCGATCTGACCACTTGTCCCTACACCGCCGCCGCCATGACACCATGTGAATATCCCGGGCCACAGTGGATGTGCTGCACTGGTCTCCAGAGTGTGTGCTGAGGTTGAGACTATGTTTCCCTCTTTGACTACAACTTATCCCAGTGATTGGGGTTTGAACAGCCTACTGAGCCAGGTTGATGAGACTGGAGAAAAAGTTAGCTGGTCTCCCATGTGGCTCTTCATATTCCTCTTTCACCTCTCCACTATCCAGACTTCAGTTTTCTCAACCTCTTCCTGGGTTGAATTCTAGTGCGGCGCCCATGGTTGCCCTCCCTGACCCCTCATGCTATATCATAGACATTTTTCCTACAATAACAAAACAGGAATCAACTCAAGGCTGTGAACAAACATCCGCTGCTCCCCCCCCCCCCACTTTTCTCTTGTTTTGTGAAGTTACTTAACGATGTCCTAAAATGAGAGGGATTTTTTTTTTTCCTCAGTCATAGGTACAAGGGGCATAACAGTGGAGTTGATTGGTCAGATTTATAGAGAATTGAATCTGAAATAGCGTCTCATTCTTACCCCGAAGGTTTTGTAGATCCAGTTTCACTTGTTCTTACCAGTTTGGTTTACAGGCAGTACCAGCCCTCCTTTTTGAAGTCCATCAAAGAATGAAGGGATTTTCTTGACCTCCTCTTCCTCTTCATGCTCCTTTATAATTAAAGGTTTTATGGCACAATTACATTCTTTTTAGCTTAAGTTTGGACAAATATTCAAAGCACAGAAGACTGATCAGTAGGGAGAAGTATTCTAGGAAAATATGTTGGGTAGTGACAGGAAAACGTAGACCTGGGAGGACCCTGTGAGCAATTATTTGGATAAGGTGTTAGAACTGCTGTTAATCCCAAACCTCATTCAAAGGGCAGCCTGTTTAAATGACGCTTTTGATGGGCTACACTGTACTGTTTATTCTTTTGTTTACATAAAGCAACCGTTCATCGTATTACCTGAGAGAAATTGCACACTGAGCACGTTATACAGAGGTGTAAGGGGTTGGTTGCACTAGAGGAATCTTGTTTACTTCATGCCATTTTGGGGCACTCATTCTTCTGTTTTTAATGGGATAGAAGAGATTGTTTTTCTGACACTGACATATAAAAAGCATTTTTAATGTTTTACAACTGCTATCAACACCCAAGCCATTTACTTTAGACATAACAGCAGGATGCATAATATGCATTAGGTTGCCCAGTCAGACTGTTCCTAATATTCTCTGGGGCGTAAAACCCTCTGTTCCTGGCCCTGGACCTCAGATCTACCTCCATGTGGCATATTTCCTCTCCTGGGGAAAAAGGAGAGGGACTTTGTATCAGTGTAGGATTGAATGCAGCCTCTTGCCTAAAGGTTGTCTTAGTACTAAAACCTTTTTTCTTGGCAGATATTCCAAAAGTTCTAGCTTGAACACTTTAGGTTACTACCTCCTGTGGCTGTCCTTTCTAGCTAAATCCTAGAACTCTACCATCTAGAAGGGGTCCTGTCTACTTCTACCCATTCCTCACATCTTACACATGAGGCAAATACGGGTTAGAGTCTTTTTCCAGATATTTCCTTGAGGCCTTATAGACCTGTATACTCCTTCTCCCAGGGATCACACTAGTAAACCAAATTAAAGAAAAAAATTATGTGATTGGTTGCAATATTTGTCCAATATTATATGCTATACTTCAGAAAACTTTAAATCACTCAAAATTCATAAATATTTGATGGCAAAGTTAATTGATTGTCATTACCAGTTAACATCACACACACAGTGTTTCTATTCTCATATTTTGTTATTTCTAGTTCTTTACTTAAGCTTGTTTCAAGTTTCAGTGTCTTTCCAGACCATAAGTTCTCCTTAAGTTAAGGCCTATTTTTACTTTTCAAGATGATGTGTAGGTTTTACTATTATCACTATGTCCATATAGGATTTTTCCTGACTTGGGGTATACAAGTTCCAAGTTGTATATTAATTACTAAAGCACTAATATCTCGGGCCAGCCTATTAATGGGGACCACATTGTATGACAGATTGATAAATGTATATTACTACCATGCATGGGCTTGAGCTTATAATTGAGTAGTTGGTACAATATTATAGGGCAGAGTCCAAAGGATTACCCACTTTTTTTTCCACTTTGGATCCCAAGATTCCTTTTCTAGAATTCAGAATTGGCATGTGCCCTTTAGACTTGAGACATATAGTTACAATATTTACGTTGAGACATATATTTACAAGTGAGCACTGTCAAATTATAGTACTCATAAGGGTGATCAAATTAGGATCCTAGTTATTGATGTTCCTAGCATCTCTGAGCCTTTATTCAAATATATTTCTGCAGAGTGATAATAGACTGTGCAAATGCTTGGTTCATTATCTTCAGTCAAGAAACAATTCTAGCCCCTTTCTCACTGTTTTTTTTTCCCCAAAAATGGTAAAATTTTTCCAATTACAAACATATTCTTTAAGAATGTGTCACAAGTAAGAAAATTTCCCAGAGTGAGTAGATTCAAACCCAGTACCGTGAAGAGTTCCCACACCAAAAGCACATGCAGTTTTGCTAGATAGTGGTGTAGAAAGGAAAGGAAATGCATCTCAGTTTTAAATGAAGTTTTAACTAAGTTTAATGGGCTTACCACAGCAAAACACTGTTGTATGGCATTTGCTTATGATATGAAAATCTCATAGGGATGGAGACTATTCAGGAATTTATTACAGTTAAACTCCTTTTGTAGACATTTGGCAGCTGAATATCACTGTTGATAATTGCCATTGTAAAATATAGGAAATGTAAATTGGTTTAATAGATTAATGGAGTTCCTTATGTGCAGAACAAAATGTTTGCACAAAGAATTTTATGTTAAATAAAATTTCCATGTTGGAACTCAATGTGAAGGTAGAACAGAGCTCCTGTTACTCCACATCTTACATTAGTATGCTACACTTACTACAACTAGTGAAATAATATTGATACCTTCATGTTAACTACAGTCAGTTCTTTATACAGACTACCTTAGTTTTTATCTGCTGTCCTTTTTTTGCTTTAATATCTCCTTCAAAATACTAATTTTGTATTAACAGTCACAACTCCTTTGGTTGTGACAGTGTCTCTCAAGCACCTTGGGAGTTGGGATTTATTTGCTCTTTTTTTGTCATGAAAAGACTAGGTTAATGGTTTTAGAACTGAACAACAACCCAAGTGAGTTACTGTTTTCATGACATCATATTTCTGTGACTTATCATTCTTCATGTTGGGATAGTATATATGAGATTTCTCCCATTAACTCCTTTTCCTCTCATCATCCAATACTGTTGGGAAGGAAGTTATTATATGAAGCCCACACATATAGAAATGGTGAGTTGTGCACTATGTTTTTCAGAGCAAGTACTTACATACATTCTTTGGAATTCTTCTGCATAGGAGCTTTGCCTCCTCACCATTTATTTATTTACACAGTTGTTTATTTATGCCAACTTGGACTCATTGATATTTATTTTATAGTTTATTTTATAATCCATTGCTACTTTTATTTTGTTGTTCAAAGTGTAGCTTTGACTATTAGGAGCTCTTTTGAATTGACCCTTAAGTCTATTTTTTTTTTAACCTAACCCATCAGGTTTTTGTCAGCACGTGCTTAATTTGTAGTATTTCAAGATGTCCACGTTCATCTTGCTTTTGTTTTGTGGAGGGCACTTTCATAATCAGGCATTTCTTCAGTGAGCTCTAATCCCTTTTACTGAAGAATTGTATCAGAAACCAAGGTCGGTGCACTATGTATGTTTTCTATTTTGGGGATATTATTTCTTCAAGGCCTTCTCATCTAATAGAACAAAGAAATATATGCATATATATTAAGATATATATATATATATGCACATGTCTATAAACATTTCCATACGTAATACTCTTTATTAGCTGTATCTGAGTTCATATCATTGTCCTCAAGCCTTAGTTATCTGCATATCTTTCCATGCTAATGGTGAGAACCATGGCTCCACTTTCTTCCATTTATGAATTGTTGAAATCCAGTTTATATACATATTAACAGTGTCTTAAGTGTTATCCTGTATACTCATGAGAAAAATCAATCAACTAGAACCTGGTGCTTATGTACATGATAGTAACGTTTTTTTTAGAACTTCAACAACTCTTTGAAACAGAATGGTCTACAAGACCCTTAAATTAGAAGCATCTGTATTCTCAATTCTATCCTAGCCACTAAAAATGCTTTCTCATACATGAAGCAAACCATTGGTGATTGACCTAACCTTGAATAAGTCAAGGAAACTTGTTGATCTTCCATTGTATGTTAATTACTATATAAGGGGCAAATGGGAAAGCAACTACATGGGCCTAGTTTAAAGAAACACTTAGCACTGTCTTTTTCTCTACTTTATATGGATCTCTAACAACTGGGTGGTACCCTGATTTGCCTTTCTTCTGTATTTTCCCCAGTTTTTAGGCAAGTCACATCACCTCTCTGTGCCTCTATTAACCCATCTAAAAATGGGGATCCACATATCTACCTCACAGGAGTGTTGTGAGGCTTCTTCTTAATAGATGTTTAAAAAATGATGCGTGATCTCTAAATGAGCAAGAAAGTATTATAATCATTACTATGATGCTAATTAGAGTACCCTATATTTATCCTATGGAAAGGAAATTAGCCCTTATCAGTAAACCACTAAATTTAAGTCAATGAGAAAGATCAATGAAGAGTGGCCACTGGAAGCAATATTGTTTGTTCTGTTACCCTCATTTCCCCTACATTCTCTGACAATAGGATTATCACCTGTTAACACTCTCGAAACATATTAGAACCTAAAATAATAAGAGGCAAAATACATAGTTTTGAAATTATATTTTTCTCCCCCTTTCTTACTCTGGTTGGATTGCATTACATATAACTTTTTCAGAAGCACAAAGACAATTTCTCAAAGCTTTTCAGTCTTTGGTCACTTCCGTTTCATCAGTTAAAATTTCTCTTTCTGCGTGTACTGTACATTAAACAGTAAAGGTAGGAGGGGAGTGGGGTGGGATGGTTGGGCTGGGAGTGGACTGGAAGAGAATGGAAATTACACAGGTGTTTTTCAAACACTGAGTATCGCTTTCCATTTCTTTTTTCTTTTTCTTTCTTTCTTTTTTTTTTTTCTGGTGGTGGGTTGGGGTCAAGGGAAGAGATAACTATTTTGTTCACAAATTCTCCTTCCCTTCCAGTAGATGTTCCCTAGGGTCAGTACAAATAGCTGTGTTGGACGTTACTTTTATAACTATGTTGTATACAGTGCTGTTTTCGTTGTATTCCTGAATGAAAAGGGAAGACAGTCCTTAGTGATGTTCATCCCTGTTTTTGACAGGAGGTCACAGCAGGAGAGCAGTAC